CCATATATGGTAGTGTTCTTGGCATATACTCTATATGCCTCAGACCACTTCCACATTCTTTCTATTCAGCTAATTATAGCTTAGTAGCCACTGGTGAAGGATTGTGAAGACCCTGTCATTTCTACAGAATAGAAAGGCAAGGCTAGTTACTGCAATTCAGCCAAACAAAAAGAAAAGAAAAAAGAATAAACCAACCCCTTAAAAAGGAGAGGTACTGCACCTTTGCAAAATTGAACTGGCTCACTGCAGCGGAGCAACAGAACCACCACTGAAGCAAGAAAACAAGTTGGTCTGTACAGGAATTATACATGGTTTGAAAATGAAAAAGTTACAGCAACCAACTAATAGCTGCAACCTTAATTCTCATTGCTGCCTCAGAGTTTGAAACTTAAACAGTTTCTGCTAACCTAATGCTAGTTTTTCAGCTCCTTTACTAAAACTATTCAGGGTTTTGTTCTCCGCAGCAAAGAAACACTCAAAACACATAGGTAAATACAGCAGGACATTACTGAAAACAGCTGCCTTGTAGTACAAAATACAGTACAAGTATACGGATGTCATTAAAACATCGAAAATACTATTGCTCCCATACAATTTAGGAAACATTCTTTGCAACGGAGAAAAAATTTTAAAAAAGAAAAGCTTTAAAAAAAATCTGTTTAAAAAGTCTACTGTGGATGATGAGTAGAGAAATAGTCTGGAAAGGGCACCAATGTTTGTGGCTCTTCCACTTTTTTTTTAAAAAAAATCTAAGATTAACAATATTCTGAATCAGTCTAATTTTTAAAAAAGCCTAATTTTATATACATGATTATTTCCCTCCCTCTCAGCCACAATGCATGAAAACGACCTTTTTGTATATTACTTTTCCCAATAAATACAAAAAGATTGTATATATTGAATAATACCAAAATAAGGTAATAAAAAGGGTAAGCAATAAATTAAAAGGCAGCTCAAATAAAGGGCAGTCATGCAGTTAAAAAAAATACTAGGATTGTGGAGGTGGGGTTACTTGCCTCCTGGTTGAGAAGGTGTCGCACAAAGCATACCTGAAAACTTTGGAAAGCACATTAGCTCCCATTCGATTCGAAGTTACCTAGATCTGTGACATTTCTAGGAACACCTTTTGATGGGGTGGGAGTAACTTGATTAATAAAATTCATTTCTACTGAAAATCCGTTTAAAATATATGAGGCGATCCTTGAAAACCCCAACTTTTATTCTTGAAAGACAGCTGGATAAACTAGCAAAAGCCAGTTTGTTGAAATTTCAAGATGGTATAAAAATGCTTCCAGGATATAGTCAGCATACTCATGTTCGCTGCGGCTCCATTCAGATGGATTTCAGCTTCCAAAGGGCACGCTGCTTGAATCACACATCCACCATTTGCCAACTTCGATTGTGAGGTACTGATACAATGGATCAAGTTCTTAAAAATTTATTTTAAAAGAATAAATGCTGGAATTCTGAACCTGAGGATCTTTAATATTCAAACGAATCCACAGATTAAAACTGAAGACAGGAAGACTTCAGTTTTGGTTATTTTAAACTTTTCTGTGAGGACATATATTTCATTAAAGCTCAGGCTTGCAGCCACACTGTTCTTTTTTAAAGTTCTATGGTTTAAAATCCAGCCAACCGGTGGCCGAAAAAGCCAAATTAGCCATAATTCACTGGCTTCCGTGGAGGAGCCTCAGGGACCTGGCTCTCATCCGTACCTAAGCCATTTCTTGGTAATGACCTCCATGTTGAGAGATCAGGGGAAGAACTTTAGTGAGCAGCAACCAATCCACTCAAACAGTTTTTTCCTTGTGCTTTATGCCTGATTTTTTCTTGTGCCTATCTCAGCAACCCCCGATGTAAAACTGCTCTTTCATCTTCAAGAAAATTTCCCAACTTTTAAAAATTCTTAATAACGAATTCTAGTTCAAGGATTGACATCTGAATCCATCTGCATCTCAGAATTCTGCAAAGAAATGACGTGGGCCTCGGTTCAGGTATCATGCAAAACTATTTTAAACAAAATAGATCCACTTTGTTGCTGTATTCCCCCATGACTTCTTGAACTCTTCTGTTCCGTCCATGATTATTTAAAGTTGCATTTCTTTTCATGAAACCTGTGCCCTCAGAACTGGGTAACTCCAAATGCCTCTCTCTTCTCAGGAATTCTATGAAGACCTAGATCCAAAATGCAGATTTCAAGGGAGGTGAAGGAACAGACACTGCAACAGTGAGGTCTGGAGAGATCTTCAGACCAGGTTCCCAAGTACAACACAAACTCAGCTGTTTTCGAGGGGTCTGGGTGACTCAGAGGTGGTCCTTGGCCCAGGACGTGCGAGGACCTTTCCCCGCCAGGGTCATCCTGGTGGGTTTAGGAACATCCGTTGGGAAACCACAGAAGCTGAGGCTGTTTTGCTCAGGTGAGGAGACGCTGTTGTTCTCTCTTCGCAAGTTGCCGTCAGTTCCTTGGAACTCTGCTGCCTTTCTCTAATTGTCCGTGACTGTTCTCTCGTGGTTATTTCTCGTAATTAGCTACGTTGCTTTGAACTTCGTTCTCTCCCTGTGGGGCCTCCCTTGCTCCCCTCAGCTAGATCACCGGGGATGAGCAGGAAGGGGAGCTCTTTAGCGGCGGGGGCGGGGTGGGGAGGCCCGGAGGGAAGCTGCGCGTTTCAGTCCTCATCCACCTCCTCACCCTCGGACTCGTCCCCGCCGCCGCGTCGCTCATAGAGCTTATCCCTCTGCCGCTCCTGGATCTCCTTCATCTCATCCGCATACCGGCAAAAGGCGCCCCCGAACTTGCCCCAGGCCTTGAAGGGGACGGTGATGGCGTTGCGGTAGGACGGCTTCACCTCGCTCACGCGCAGGAACACCCCGTACTTGTTGCAGCCCACGTCGAAGAAGAAGCGCTTCGAGTCCACCGTGATGGAGGTGCCCTCCGGGAGCTCGCCGTACAGGCCGCCTCCGGGGCCCGCCGCGCCGCCGCCCGGGCC